ACAGTCATCGAAGTGGTTCTTGGGTTCTCTCCAAACCATCGGTACGCCGAATTTCAGACTTTTTCTTTTCCCGGTAGTCCACTGTCGTAAATGTTCTGTACAAGTTTTACAGACCTGATGCGGTGCCCAGGTTTTATCCTGATCACCAAGCCTAACACCAAAGTATACAAAATAAGCTTTCTTTACAAAGTCACTAACAGTTTTTCTGTTTTCTTTTAACGTGTATTCTCCACATATGTAACAAAACACATCAGGTTGATTTATACAACTTCTTCTTCTTGAACTCATTTTATTTCAATTCAGGAACACAAACACAACAATCTTCAACACAGTACGTTTTAGGTTAAATTTATAACAACTCTTTTACTTTTATAAACAAATATCACCCGAGGCCAACTTCGATGTACCCTGCACGGCGAGAACATATAAACTAACCTCAACTCTAGTGGAAGCGTTCAAGTTCACTTCACACCGGACAGACAATGCCATCTAGTGGATTTTGGGGGAACTCAGTGGACAGCAGACTGACAATAGGGCAAATATACAGGAACCAATCCTTGCATATGAGATTTAGAACTGCACAAAATACAATTAGAACTGCACATTTTGTGTAGAACTGCACGTTACAAAAACGCTGATCTAAAAAAGTAGAGCTGGTAGAGAAAAACTGATTTTATATTTAGATTCAGCGCCTTAAATATAACTAAAATTAGTTCTAAAATCCTAGACACCTATATATGTCAATAACTGTTAATAATTATTAACAGTTATTGACTTATATAGGTGTATGTTGTTTCTCAGATACGTTTGTCGTTGTAGTTTAGTTCTTCTTAGGGGATAATGTATCTTCGTATAAGAATGTTATCCCTCCTTCAACAAATCTTTGTCATGTCCACTCAATAATTACAATAATTTACATTTCAATACAGAGAAACGCGTTTTGAACAGGAAGTGCTTATTCTCATTGTCTTCAAATGATTAATGTCTTAAATATGGTTCATAATTACAGCTCTTAGAGTGTATACACGTACATACACACCCCAATATATTTAAATTAAAATAGTGTTTAAGATCTAAAAGTTTGTGACGATGGTATATTAGTGCAAATATTGTGTTCTTTGGACATTATCCGTTGTTTTTCTTTATCTAAAAACCGTCCTGTTTATTTTTCAAGACCAAGTTTCGGAGATTGGATTCTGACTCCGTCTTCAGGTAAAACCTACTCAGATAGGGACTAACTCTATCGATTGGGTCAAACTTAGTAGGTTTTACCTGAAGGCGGAGACAGAATCCAGTCTCCGAAACGTTGTGTTTCGAAAAATAAACACCACGGTTACTAGATAAAGACAAGACGATGGACAATGTCCAAAAACATAACATTTGTGTTAAAGTAGTGGTTGTTTTCGTATATGCCTAAAAATAATGTGGAAAATAATTAATAGCACATCGACGTATCATGGCTTTAGGTTAAAATGTGATTAAAATTACAACATATTGTGACGCATTGCGCTATGGAGGACACCCCTCCCGCCCGCCAGCGGTGACGTGCCGAGCGGAGCCGAAGTGAGCCGAGTCCAAGCACACTTGTCGCTATGCAAAGCGAGTAAACAATAGTTGCTAGAGACGACGGTAATAAACAGCGGTACCCGTTACGTAACAAGTAAACAACTCCCGACAGCGTTGCTAGGCTATCGGTAAACAGGCGACTAGGCAACAAGGAGGCAAGGCGTTTTCCCGTTGTCCGGCTGAGTGTTTATAAGAGAACTACACTGCCTACGAAGACAGTTGGAATCTAGCAGCAGTCGCGGAAAGAAGAACCGGACGCGTGTGTGATTATCAGTGATAGTTTGTGATAACTGCGAAGGTATTGGGAATGTGTAATTAAGTGACACTTGTATAACTCCCGTGTTATAAATACGTATAGACTACTTAGGATAGAGCGAATTGATTAGTGCGTAGGGTTTGTAACTTGTGGAAACCCATAACAGTGTTGTGATTAATTGTCGCCGAGACTTGTAGGTTGTAGAATAAACCAATTAACAATCCGAACGGCGTCTGCAGTGACAAAACACGTTATATATGGAAAGGAATATCTTGAGAAGATATGTAATGAGATTATAGAAGTTCAAAGGACAGGACGTTATGATTTGATGTACATGACAAAAGAACTAGGATGGAAAGAGAATCATGGGATTCAAAAATATTGGCATCGAAGACTCCCAGGGGAATAGAATAGTAGATCAGAGGCAAGTGCTGAAAATTTGGGAAAATTATATTACAGAACTATATTATCAACCTAATCGGCCAGAAACCTTGGAAGTGGAACCCGAAGAAGAAGTAGATACAGACGAGAAAGGACCGTATATTTTACAAAGTGAGGTGGAAAAAGCTATCAAGGACATGAGGAATGGAAAGGCTACAGGAGATGATGATGTACCTGGAGATGTACTTAAGTTACTGGGAGAAGGTGGCTTGAAAACACTAACAAAACTAATAAACGCTGTATATGAAACTGGGGAGTGGCCCAAGGACTTTACAGAAGTGACAATGATTGTCTTAAAGAAAAAGACAAGAGCTACAAAATGCAGCGACCATCGCACAATAAGCCTTATTGCACATACAGCAAAGATAATAGCAAAGATACTTAAAAGAAGAATAGAAAGGAAAATAGAGGATATACTTAGAGAGGATCAGTTTGGATTTAGAATAGGAAAAGGAACCAAGGATGCAATTGGGATGATGAGAATTATAGCAGAACGAACTTTGGAGATAGATGAAGAACTGTGTGCTTTCTTTATAGACTGGCAGAAGTCATTTGACCGTGTAAATTGGACCAAATTAATGCAGATCCTAAAGGAAAAAGGTACCGATTGGCGTGAAAGAAGATTGATTAGTAAATTGTACATGGATCAGAAAGTTAGAGTGCGACTGAACAGAGGGGAGACAGGAAGTGTGAAGATTGGAAGAGGAGTTCGACAAGGATGCCGTTTATCACGAATTCTGTTCAACTTGTACAGCGAATGCCTTACCAAAGAAGCTCTGGACGGGCTTGGAGGGTTCAAATTAGGAGGGCAAATTATTCAAACTGTGAAATATGCAGATGACCTTGTTTTAATGGCTAAGGAAGAAACTGTGCTACAGGGCATGATTGATAGACTAATTGAAATTGGAAGGTGCTATGGCATGGAAATGAATGTGGAAAAAACAAAAGTAATGAAAATTTCGAGACAACCAACCCCAGTCACAATAAAGATAGACCAAAAACAACTGGAGAATGTGAAATGTTTTAAATATTTGGGTAGCTTGTTAACAGATGATGGAAGGTGTACTAGTGAAATTAAATCCAGGATTGCCATGGCAAAAGCTGCATTTAGCAAGAAGAAGAATCTTTTTACCAGCAAATTGGACTTAAATTTGAGGAAGAAACTAGTGAAATGCTACATTTGGAGCATAGCTCTGTATGGGGCTGAAACATGGACACTTAGGGCAGTAGATCAGAAACATCTGGAAAGTTTCGAAATGTGGTGTTGGAGAAGGATGGAGAAGTGTTAATTAGAGTCAGTGAGCAGAGGAATATCCTACACGAAATAAGAAAACGGAAGGCTAATTGGATTGGTCATGTTTTACGCAGAAACTACCTTCTAAAAGACGTCGGAGGAAAGATAGAGGGGCGGATAGAAGTGACGAGAAGACGAGGAAGAAGACTTAAGAAGATGTTGGATGACCTTGGGGACAGAAGATGATATTTTCATTTGAAGGAGAAAGCTCTAGATCGCATCAAGTGGAGGAACTGTTTTGGAAGAGGCTGTGGACCTGTCGTCTTGACAGATTACAGATGAATGAATGGGAATATATCCTAGGACTGCAAAAATTTGGTACTCCGCCTTGAAATATATTTCCGAAATCTATTCTAATCATTCGTAACAACAGTTCCACACAGGCCCTTGATTTCTCAAAACTGCAATGTCCATATGAACCCTACTAGATACCTCTCTCGAAGAATTAACGTAAGAGTGACTTCAAGGAACGGAGATATGGAAGACCATTAGAGTGAAGAAATATTACAGATGTATCAACCACAATGCCATGGATGATGGGCAGGACACACGAAGGTCAGTCTCTAATCCGTCACCTACAAGTACAGTGTCGGCATGTATGAAGCCCATTACATCTCTCTGGACATCCCTTAACAATTTTTTGGCATGCTCAATGAGATCACATGCAGTGATTCCTGAAAACTTCGTGTTATAGTCTACACTGCAATTCCCTGGTCTCACCAAGCTGTCGTGCATGAGATGCTCATCGGCAGCCACCGAAGTCGCCCTTAGTTGCTACATACCACGCGTTGTGTAAGACACCTCACAGTCGCACGTAGCCATCAAGTGGGTCTTTCACTCCATGGCCAACGCCATTCCACACATGCAGTTTTCCCATAGTATAACCATATGCAGTTCCAACACCTCGGAAGGCTCCAAAGTAACTGTACTCTGCTCGTTGCCATAGCACCGACCTTGTCGGGCTGTGGCGCCACAGCCTACTGTAACTTGCACCACTGATAATTCATTGTTCTTGAGTCACGTATTTTTCCGCCCAGTGTTACATTGAAACCACAAGAGCGGCCACATTTCTTTTCATCAGTACCACTCAACAGCTGATCTTTCTTCGAGTACATACCTAATGTGTCACTGCCTTGACATTTCGGAGTAGCACTAGACCCACCTAGATCTTGCGGATCGGAAGTTTCACTTTCTTGGTTGTAGATGTGGACGCTTCATCGCAGGTTTTCGTGGGTTCCCTCATCGTCTACTTCATTGAATGCGCCTCCATATGGAATTCAGTGAAGTGATTCCTCGGTTCTCAATGAGGCTAGTACAGTTTTCATCTCTGAGACGATCGCAGCACTCTCCTCTAACAACATCCTGAGCTCTGATAGCTCCTGTTCCCTACTGCTATCCTTAGGCCACAGTCGTTGATATGTGTAACCTATGAGATAAAGCACCATGTCCGAAATGAGTTTGCCGATGAAGCTGAAACTCAGCGAGACAAGGAACGTCCATAAATTCTGGTATTCTCCTGGTAAGCTCCGTCGAAACTCGCAGAAATGCGCTGGTTCCATTTCGGGCGCTGAAGTTGGTTCTGGCACTGGAGCTGATTCGGGCGCTGAAGTTGGTCCGGGCAGTGGAGCTGATTCGGGCGCTGAAGCTGGTCCGGGCGCTGAATTTGATCCGAGCACTGGAGCTGATTCGGGCACTGAAGTTGGCCCGGGCACTGGAGCTGATTCGGGCGCTGAAGTTGGTCCGGGCACTGGAGCTGATTCGGGCGCTGAAGTTGGTCCGGGCACTGGAGCTGATTCGGGCGCTGAAGCTGGTCCGGGCGCTGAATTTGATCCGACCACTGGAGCTGATTCGGGCGCTGAATTTGATCCGACCACTGGAGCTGATTCGGGCACTGGAGCTGATTCGGGCGCTGAAGTTGGTCCGGGCACTGGAGCTGATTCGGGCGCTGAAGTTGGTCCGGGCGCTGAATTTGATCCCGGCCCTGGAGCTGATTCGGGCGCTGAAGTTGGTCCGGGCGCTGAACTTGGTTCGGGCGCTGGAGTTCGCGCCGGCACTAGAGTTGGTTCTATCACTGGAGTTGTTTCGGGTGCTGGAAGCTCTTCTGATGCTGGAGTTAGTTCAGACGCTGGAATTAGTTCGGGTGCTGAAACTTGTTCTGATACTGGAGTTAGTTCAGGCGCTGGAATTAGTTCGGATGTTGGGAACGAGGAAAAGTGCAAACTTTTGCAGAAAGAGGTCAGGTACCTCGGTCATATTGTATCACCAGAAGGTATATCCACCGACCCGGACAAATTGAAAGCCGTGTGAGAATGGCCGACCCCGAAGGATAAACATGAAATTAGGAGCTCTCTGGGACTATGCACTTATTACAGGCGGTTAATCTCAGGTTTTTACAGCATTGCAAAACCACTGACTAGACTAACGGAAGAGAAACAAACCTTCCAGTGGACTCAAGAAGTGGAGGCCGCTTTTCAAACACTAAAGGGAGCCCTATGTGCTGCCCATATTCTTTCCTACCCACAACCAGGAGAAAAATTTGTTGCTTGACCATTCCCTGATTGGTACATGGAAAGTTGTCCATCTCAATAATCTCCCCCCAGAAACAGCAACTAACATTAAACCAATCATGCCACACAACATCATGAAACTAGCATCACTAATACTATAGAAAGAAGACAGATTAAAATCACCACAAAAAACATAATAAAACAAACGGAAAGAATAACAAACAGTCAACCCAGTAGAAACAAAAAACAATAAAAACCCCACCAAATTAATATATCTAAAAGAAGCCGCTTCTAAAATAAGGTCTTTAGAGTAAAACCCTGCAAGAAAAGGCATACCACACAAAGCAAAACTAGAAACGCCCAAACAAACCGAAGGTTGCAAGCTTTGGCGCTTTCTTATAATATTTTTGTTTAGTTTATCTTGTGGGCTTTATGTTGGCCATCCATTTGAGTATTTTAAAATTCTGTTTTCAGTATTTTTGATTTTCTTTTATTTAATGTTTTTATTGGGGTGTTTGGTTTAATTTTTCATTTGTAGTATTTTTGGTTGAATTAGTATATTTGGTTTGATTTGATTTGATGTTATGCTTTTTAGAGGAATTAGGCAAAGATTTAATGTCCGCCTGTTTAACAAAAACATCTCTTCTTGTTTGTTGATTTGAGGTAGGGCCTGCCCCCCCACATTTCCTTAATTGGAACTCTTGTTTCAATTTTATCATTAACAGTGATATACCTCTTTTTGGTTTCAATTAATTAAAGCAAGGGTAATTTCTAACCAATTTAACCAGGTCGAAACTGGCCGTGATGGTTCACTTCTTACTTTTGGTGAGGCAGACCTTATAGTACTTTTTGGATGCAACCCAAATGTTATGTTTAACTACAACCCCCTCTTTTAGTTGGCTCATTCTAGCGCTCCCTGATTTCACTCGNTAAAGGGTAGGATTCCGGTTGGAGGCCAAGTAGAGCCTAGTTCGATGGTGGGCGATAGTCTTCTGTGGAAGAATGCCCAGAAGAATGAAATGAAGAAGAATACTTCTGAGATGATAAATAGAATTATACCCCATCGTAACCCTTTGTCGAAATTGGTCGTGATGGTTCACTTCTTACTTTTGGTGAGGCAGACCTTATAGTACTTTTTGGATGCAACCCAAATGTTATGTTTAACTACAACCCCCTCTTTTAGTTGGCTCATTCTAGCGCTCCCTGATTTCACTCGTGATATAGGCCAATGATGGCATTGCAATGAAAATTAAAATAATTGCTGGGATGATTGTTCATGCTACTTCGATTATTTGGCCTTCTAGTACGAATCGGTCGGTGTTTTTNGGAAGTCAAGCATACTTATTATATTAGATAGGTTTATTTTATCTTCCTCACCAATTTAAGCAAAACCCCGGCCAAAATCATCGAGCCAGACACGGGGACTTCTACGGGAGGAGACAATATTTCATGTTGTGTAAGCGTCCGGGTAGTCTGAGTATCGTCGAGGCATTTCTGCTAATCCTAGGAAGTGTTGTGGGAAGAATGTTATGTTTACCCCTACGAATATCACTACGAATTGTGCTTTTAATCATTTAGGGTTTAAGGTTAACCCGGGTGTTTTTTTTTTCTAGCGGTTGTGTTTCTTTTGTTGATTGTTCTTGTTCTTGTTCTTGTTGGGGTTGCTTTTTTAGTTCTTCTTGAGCGCAAAGTCCTTGGTTATGTTCATATTCGTAAGGGCCCCAATAGGGTTGGTTTTGTAGGGTTATTTCAACCTTTTCAGTATTTGCAATCATAGCCGGCTTTATTCAATGGTACCCCTTATTCACAGGGTTAACCTTAAACCCTAAATGATTAAAAGCACAATTCGTAGTGATATTCGTAGGGGTAAACATAACATTCTTCCCACAACACTTCCTAGGATTAGCAGAAATGCCTCGACATTACTCAGACTACCCGGACGCTTACACAACATGAAATATTGTCTCCTCCCGTAGAAGTCCCCGTGTCTGGCTCGATGATTTTGGCCGGGGTTTTGCTTAAATTGGTGAGGAAGATAAAATAAACCTATCTAATATAATAAGTATGCTTGACTTCCAATCAAGATGTTTGTATCAACAAGATATGTAATTATAATAATCACAACCACGGTAGCGCTGGCCTTAATAGTAACCGCAGCAGTTATAGTTCTAACTTCTACGCTATCCAAAAAAAAATATCGAAGACCGAGAAAAAAGATCACCATTCGAGTGCGGGTTCGACCCAAAAAGATCTGCACGACTGCCTTTCTCATTGTGGTTCTTCCTTATGGCCGTAATCTTCCTAATCTTCGATGTAGAAATTGCACTACTACTCCCAATAACCGTAGTAATACTATCATCGAACATAAAATCCGGGTATCGGGAGGGGATTAATCATATTCTTGTTGGGATAAGGGTTAATCCTAGAAAAGTTCTAAGTCAGTTTAGAGATAGGTTGAGGCTTCTTGTTGATGGGTCAAATACTGAGAATAGGTTTCTTATCATTTTCAGGCCAGTATTTTCTTTGAGGGGGCCTCTTTTTCTCTTTTCGTTTTGGTTTTTGGGCTGCAGCCCGGGTCTCTTATCGGAGACGACCAAATCTACAACGTAATTGTAACAGCTCACGCCTTCGTAATAATTTTCTTCATGGTAATACCAATCATAATTGGTGGGTTCGGGAACTGATTAGTGCCTTTAATACTTGGTGCAACATAAAATGAATAAACCCATAGGGCAAACATAAATTTAAAAGACAGAGCGTCCCCTATTATAGAANCATTCGAGTGCGGGTTCGACCCAAAAAGATCTGCACGACTGCCTTTCTCATTGTGGTTCTTCCTTATGGCCGTAATCTTCCTAATCTTCGATGTAGAAATTGCACTACTACTCCCAATAACCGTAGTAATACTATCATCGAACATAAAATCCGGGTATCGGGAGGGGATTAATCATATTCTTGTTGGGATAAGGGTTAATCCTAGAAAAGTTCTAAGTCAGTTTAGAGATAGGTTGAGGCTTCTTGTTGATGGGTCAAATACTGAGAATAGGTTTCTTATCATTTTCAGGCCAGTATTTTCTTTGAGGGGGCCTCTTTTTCTCTTTTCGTTTTGGTTTTTGGGCTGCAGCCCGGGTCTCTTATCGGAGACGACCAAATCTACAACGTAATTGTAACAGCTCACGCCTTCGTAATAATTTTCTTCATGGTAATACCAATCATAATTGGTGGGTTCGGGAACTGATTAGTGCCTTTAATACTTGGTGCAACATAAAATGAATAAACCCATAGGGCAAACATAAATTTAAAAGACAGAGCGTCCCCTATTATAGAACAACTAATTTCATTCCACGATCACACACTAATAATTATCTTAATAATCCTCACAGTAGTGGCCTACATAATAACCACTTTAACCCTCAATAAAAACACCGACCGATTCGTACTAGAAGGCCAAATAATCGAAGTAGCATGAACAATCATCCCAGCAATTATTTTAATTTTCATTGCAATGCCATCCTTACGACTACTTTATCTTATGGATGAAATCCACGAGCCAACGCTAACCCTTAAAGTAATCGGACACCAATGATATTGAAGATATGAGTATTCAGACTTTATTAAAGTAGAATTCGNTCTTTGAGGGGGCCTCTTTTTCTCTTTTCGTTTTGGTTTTTGGGCTGCAGCCCGGGTCTCTTATCGGAGACGACCAAATCTACAACGTAATTGTAACAGCTCACGCCTTCGTAATAATTTTCTTCATGGTAATACCAATCATAATTGGTGGGTTCGGGAACTGATTAGTGCCTTTAATACTTGGTGCAACATAAAATGAATAAACCCATAGGGCAAACATAAATTTAAAAGACAGAGCGTCCCCTATTATAGAACAACTAATTTCATTCCACGATCACACACTAATAATTATCTTAATAATCCTCACAGTAGTGGCCTACATAATAACCACTTTAACCCTCAATAAAAACACCGACCGATTCGTACTAGAAGGCCAAATAATCGAAGTAGCATGAACAATCATCCCAGCAATTATTTTAATTTTCATTGCAATGCCATCCTTACGACTACTTTATCTTATGGATGAAATCCACGAGCCAACGCTAACCCTTAAAGTAATCGGACACCAATGATATTGAAGATATGAGTATTCAGACTTTATTAAAGTAGAATTCGACCCACAAAACAAGGAAAAACAAAAAAGAAAAAGAAAGAAATCACAAAAAATAAACCATGAACCAACCACCAGCCCTCGACCAAAAAACATAAGGGGATTAAAAAAAAATAAAAACCTTAACATTGCAAGACTCTATAAGACTGAAAAAAATCATTACCAAACCCACGAATCATAGACACTAAAATAGATAGGCCCAACGCTCCCTCACACACAGAAAAAACCAAAAAAGCATAACAAAATAAAGCTCATAATCATAGCAACAAAGATAAAAATAAACAACAACAACAACAACAACAACAACAACAACAAAAAGAACCAAAACAATAGTAAATTAGCAATTACTTCTGATGAAAAGAGTTAGTTAATAAATAACATTGGTATGTCAAACCAAAATAGCTCCACAAGCACCCTTTTAATGCCACAAATAATACCAATTACACTTGGGAACCATCAATGTAGCGGGGCAGCCCCTATTTTTAGGAGTAGAGGTGTTATAATCACATATTCATGGGAGACCCCTTTCATTGTCACAGCAGCCGACGTACTACACTCATGAACAGTTCCAAGACTAGGGCGATAACTCCTCCTAGTTTGTTGGGAATTGATCGTAGGAT